ACAACATCAGGTGCGGAAATCTTAAACTCTTGCTCTTTCACTTGCAACCAGGGAAAATCCTAAAACTGACCGTCAGAAGCAATCGTTACTTTAGAAATAACAACCTCATATGCAGAATTACTATTAAATGATATATTTGAATATTCCGTAGTGTGGAGCATAATTTTAAAAACGGCATTATCAGGAACCGGATCTAAATAGGAACATGCAGTTTGCAATTTAAGACAAAAATCACGCAAATCTTGCTCCAATTTTAAATAAATTTGATCCCTAAAAGAAATAATAGTATTATTATGCACAACTAGAGCACTATGTCTACTTATTAAAGTTGTTCTGTATTGAGAGAATGTCAAATACAAATCGTTCGTGGATCGTCGCTTCAGCACCAATAATACACACAAACAATTTCCGTAATGAGCATGCTTTCGCATGATATTTGACCGCTTTTAAACTTTCAGTAATGTACTCGTTCAGTTGGGGATGTACGGAACGATGAACTATGACACCATATTTTTTTCGCTTTACGAAAATTTGCTTCGGGTACAGCTGCCTCAGGTAGAGTATATTATGAATAACCACTTCGCAAAATTCGCATAATATGTTGACAATAACTACAATAACATGAAGTTACAACTACAAGTATGAATGTGAAGGATGTAATACTTTCGTCAGCTTTTGAGTTCATAACGTTGTAGAAAGCCGTTGAACATTTATCTATTTGGGTGTTTTATGACTTTGTAATTGAATTTAATTATAAATTCAATGCCTTTGTCTAATTTCAATTTCTGGAAGATTAAAATTAGGTTAACAATTCAAAAACTTGTATAAAATTTGACATCCAACTGTACAGGATCAATGATCATAAAACACATTTCATTATTAGTAGTTCAAACAAATCTGGTAGATGCAATACCCAACAAATTTAAATTTATAATTAATATACTACGAGATCAAAAATGAATTGCTGTCGGTGTCATCACTTTTGGAATTTTTGTTTACATGATGTTTCGTACTTAAGTTGAACTTCCGAAGGCGACTCGACCGCCACTCATTTTTAATCGCTCGTTACTATTTGTAATAGAAGCGACTGTACTGGAAAGAAATATCCAACAGCAACGTTTCCTCATTCCTCTGGTTACCCACACCACCGAATAAAGATACGTTATATTATTCCGTATTCTGTTCCCACACTGAGCTACTTTAACTTACACTCATTTATTGTCCCTTTCTTGTTCTGGGTCCACAATAGGCTTTCGCCCAATTACAAAGTGACCCCCATAATGGGGCATAAAGGTGCCCCTGCAGGAGGTCTCAAGTTGTTCTATATTTCGGTATTTACCTTACAAAACCGGCAGACAGCACCTTACAATTTTTTACAGCATTACCATTTATTAAAAATATATTACAGAAATGAAAATAGCTTCTATTTTTATAACAAAATTAAGAGTGTAAAATTCACTTTAAATTTCAATAAATATCAAAAAATCAATTACTCAACCATCATTGAAGACGGATAAACTACAAAAGCAATATCTCTGCAAGCTTAAGCATCTCTTCCAGTCTGTAATAAGGCCAAAGCTTTTTGAAGGTTATCAATAGCAGTATTAACGTCATCGTATGCTAGTGCAGATGCAGCCCATTTGCAAAATTTTTGTGCTTTTTCCATATCCTCTGGGTTTAAACTACCACTAGCAGAAGGAGAAATTGTAGGGGTTTGAGGAATGGGTGTCGGTTCAGGTGCCACAGGAGGTAAAGTGCGAGGAGCAGGTGATGGTGCAGGCGAAACGTAAGGAGCAGGTTCGTTCTCTGGTCTACTGCGTGGCGTGTTGTCTGTTGACGGGTGAAAGCCAGCATCATCCGCCATGTAAGGATCTCCATCTTCACCATCGTAGTCAGCTGGAGGACCCGGAACTGGGATTTCGCCAGATTTAAGGCAATTATGAATGTACGCAGCTTTCCATTTGGCGTATTTACGTTTGTTGCTCATTTCATCACTTAAAGTGCCAAACTGTTGAAGTACATCGCACAAAATTCCAGCCGTATAAAAAGCCTTGACTACATTTTTCCCAAATTTTTCAGCTCTATCCTGCCCATCAGCGTAATTAAATAATTGCAAAATATATTCCTCAATTAAAGCTTGTGCCACAGTCGTATTGGTGATACCCTCTACATCCGCATGATTTTTTTTAACGTCTTCGAGCCAGCTCATGATTGCTATTAAAAATGCTGTAACTTCTGGAGGTTTCTTTCCAGTAATTGATCTCATTACGACTTCACAAGCGTACATACGACCTATATTGATCAAAACATAAATAAGTAAATAATTTAAAGGTCAGATTCTTACTCCAATAACTGATAACGACATTTCGATCATCGTGTTCATCTGCCACTTTCATGTAATGTGCAACATGTTTTGCAGCAGGGGGAATCGGCGGAAAATCGGGCATTCTTCTAAAAATCTTAAATGTTAAAGAACATAAATACACCCTAAAAATAAGGAATTACGAATTTGTTGAATGACAGTTTTGGGACCTTGAAACATATGAACTACCTGATACTGTAATCTCTAACAAGCAAAATTTATACAAAGTTTGTATTATGCCTACATATTGCAATACGTGAATGTACAGGGTGGACCGGCTATGTCATTAATTTGAGTGGTAAGAGCCAAAATAAATTACAAATAAAAAAACCGACATTTCTTTGTGTTTCAACATCAAAATAATCAATGCAAAAATTGATATTAATTCGAACCCGAGGAATTACCGCCTTATTTGTTGTCAGGATTAAAGACTGGATGACCAATCAATTCCAGGCTCAGTGCAATTGGACTCAAACAGTCTAGCACCTTCTTATCGGGCCCCTCGGCAAATGTAAATCTTTTAAACTTCGAAATTAGAGGCCAGATCAGGAAGATCATCAGAGTCCTCACGGGGCAGTGGATAGTCATCATCAGATTGGGTTTGTAGAGGAGCCCATGTGTACGTTCTGTAGTAAGAGATGAAACTACCTAGCATGTGATCTAATACTGTGACGCGTTGATCAAAGACAGGCATTAGCTCTTTGGTCACTCAGGAAGGGAAGTGAAGCAGTTTAAGGCTAAACAGCTAAGGCCCTATCCTGCCTCGTCGAGCACCCCTTATGAATAGAATATAACTAGCGGGTACACTTTATTATATATTAAAGAACAAAACTGCCGAAGAGTTGTTTCAGATGACTAAAAAAAATTCGTTAAGCGGCGCGCTTGCGAACAAGAGACGAACAGGTCACTTTCAAATTGGTGTTTTCGATTTTAATAGCCCTTATGCGTTACGTTAACAAGAATACAAATATGAAATAATTTTTAACACACTTTTTATTTTTTGAAAGTGAAAGTGCACTAAAGAGTTATGGAAATATTGTCGAAATCATCCGAGTATATTCGACCATACGCTTCTCTCGCCAAAAGCAGTTTTTGTGCACTTTCACTTTCAAAAAATAAAAAGTACTTTTACGCTGTTCATGTCTGCCAAGTCACAAAAGCTCTGGAACTAAACCACTTATAGACTTGGTATGTCATCAAGATTAGAAATTAAAAAATTATTTCATTTTGTATTCTTCTTAAGGCATAAATCCTCTATATTTTTCCTGTTCTACTACAAAAAGTTAGCCTCCACCCTATATATGTACGTTACTAAGTGCAAATACAGCCCTGGGATACATACCCATGGCGTGGAGGGACGTAAAAGTCGTATTCGCCAAGCTTAATGTCGCTTCTCCTATTTAAGTAACTTATTGATGACTAAACGCATTAGGCACCTGGGCGTGTGGGAATCGCAAACAGCTAGGTTGCAGAAGAACATGTTAGTGCAATTCATTCATAGGACCCAAACTGGCCTGTGGGATTACATATAACACAGCCAAAAAGGAGATTCAAGCAAAATTCATGAAGAAACTCCACACTCTGGTCGAAAATTCCAAGATACAACCATTCCAAGATCTTTCTGGAAACATAAAATACAATAACAGTCTGGGACCACCCCTAGTACCTACTACAATAATAATAATGATAAATTGCTACTATACTTCATTCATTATAAGAAGGTAGTAGATGGCGCTGTGTTTGAAGATAAGCACACACAGGAAAAATATAAAACGGCATAAAATTATTCTAAAGTAGAAATATCCAGTACTGCAAACAGAAATAAATCTTTGACATTAGCAGTTAATGACACTTCCAACAGTTTAGATGGCAACAGAAACTACCAGCTTGCAAAATTCGCCACTCGTTTTATGTTTCAGCGTAATACTGACTCGTGTTTTAACCAATCACACTGAAGGTCAAAGCTTCCCTATACTTTTTACCGCTACCTTCTTAAAATGAATACAGGTATAGGACCTCTTGAACTGACGAATCTCAAACATAAAATATTATTATGGCCCACTTTTCTTCTTTAAAGTATGGTTCAGAGTAATCCAAAGCTTTCTAGTTTTAGTGTCCTTCACAGAGTTCAGTGGCTCAATGTCTTTGCGGAACTCGTTAAACCCCTGCCACAGTATCACACCATTTTAACTCTTTCCAAGGCCTTCTAAGCTTAATCGAAACTCGCCCATTTTCTGGAAAGCCTTATACACGAGTCGCAGATTGCATTCAAGGTACAGTTGATAGCTTTCCAGATCTCTCTGAACCTGAAAATTCCCAAATAACATTTAAGAGACTGTGGAAAACGTTAGGGCCTCTGGAAAGCTGAAAAACCCTTCCAAGAGTCTACAAGTATTCAGAGCATTTAAGAGCTTTAGTCATTTTCCATAGCAGACCAACTCCAATTCAATGTGACTTATTGCGATGACCTTAAGAATATGATTTTAGACTTTATTTTACATAATATTAACAAGTTCCCTAAAAAGCACAAGCCCTGTATACAAGAATCAATGCGTAATGTATCGTTAACATTCCAAAACAAGTTAAATAATAAAATATACAGACATTTCCTTCTAAACAATTTATAAATGTAGCTAGATATTATAAATAATTTAATGAAGCTTACATATGTATTAGATATCATTTAAAATTCGCAAATACGATTAAACTATTAAAAAATAACATTCAATATTGTATGTAAACTAAACATTCTAACTACTCATGTAGCACCAAATTAGCTCAATAAATGCCTTTAAGCTGTATACACTTGCTTTTTTATCTACATTAACCAGGTAGTTAACCAGATTTAGATGAAGTTAAAACTACTAGAGGCACACAACCTACGAAACGTGGTAGGTTTCTAGTTATTCCAAATTTAAGGCCACACATTCGAAATGTACATTTCCATAACATTAACAATATATGAGTACAATTTTGCTAAATTAAAGGTCTTTAGTTAAATGTTAAAAAATTATTGCCGGGTGACCTTTGAAATTAATATTTAATGATAGAATACAAGATTATATAAGCGAATGTTAATAAATTATGACACATAGTGAACATCACATTCTAAACCCACTTATAATTGATAAAATTACCTCCTCATAAATTAAGATTTAAATATTGCTAAAACGAAAGTAAAGCTAATTGAAAATGAAGCGTGAAGAAATAAAAAAATTACATGAAATTTTTCTTAGCACAATCGGGACATATAATATCATCCGCATCAGTAATAAAACCACGTCCGACAAGGCTCGTACGGCAATTGGCGCAATAAAAGCAATCGTTGTGCCAATGCCTGTCCTCGAACGATATAAACTTCGTACCTCCGATACCAGTAATTGGCTTATTACAAGACGTGCATCTCTTAGCAAACAGTTCGCCGAAACATTCGGCGCAGTACGGCTTGTCATCTCGACTGGTAAAGCGAGCGCCGGCCAAGCTGGTATTGCAGTTGGTGCACGTGAAGCATTCTCTATGCCACGGTTCGTTCTTGTAAGTTACACCTCCGCTTGTAATCACCTAAAAAAGATTGTAATTTAAATGTGACAAACAATTTCAGTTCGAGTACTACCTTATTGCACTTGATGCAACGAGTGGCGTACTTATCCTCGTAGCACTTGGCGCAGTAAATTTCCTGCTCCCTCGGAATGAAGCTCTGGGTTCCAATGGGAGTTTTACAGACGTTACAACAGAAACACTTCTCGTGCCACTGCCTTGTTTTATATTCCATCTTCTTAGTTCCTAAAACAAAATGGCCACATTTTATTCTGCTGTTAATAGTAAATAGATGAATAGGCAGTTGCATGATTAAAATCTGAAATAAACTTCTGTTAATTTTTTCTTGTATTTTGAATTTTTGAACATAACATTAATGTATTTGCCAATGTTTTAACCAAAAAAATGGTAAGGTACCTAGTCGTCAGGAAAGTAAGCACATTTTTGGTGTTACAGATCAACAAAATTTTAATGCTATAGAGTAATTACGCTACTAAAAATAACGGCAAGCATCCAGAATAAATTTACTCAGTATGCCCTATAACGCTAAGTTTTAAAAAAAACTATCCAAATAGGTAGGGAGTAAATAATGGATAAGAAATGGTTGTGTTTAGGATGTAATCCTGTTGTGTAATTCAATCCTAGATACATTAGAAAACAGTTGTTATAGTTTCCATAATTAGTTTTAAAACCAATAAACCCTTTACAATGGGCCATATGAATAAAAGGAAGCAAATGCTTATACTTACAAAATTCAAAGTAAATACTCGTAACTGCCCCTTCATACTGGTCTGTTTAGCAGCGCTGCACTGCGTCCTGTCCTGCTGCTCAGCAGCGCTGCTAAATCGCCCAGTGTGAAGGAGCAATTACGAGTATTTACTTTGAATTTCGCAAGTATAAGCATTTGCTTCCTTTTATTCATATGGGCCAATAAAGCGGGTATTTAATTGATCCAAAAATTGAATCAATAATATACTATGTGTGCTATTTTTTACTATTTACTCTCTAGACTGTGTGGCACAAAAAAGTAATGATGCAATGACTAATAAAAGAAATCGGATTATTATAATTGTTTAATAAAAACCAGTTATAATGAACAGACATAATTTTGTTAATTAATTCATAAACAAGGAAAGTTCAAATGTGAATCTTTTTTACAATTAATTACGACATGTGACCCCCCACTTCTTACTGTGTTTGTTGATTAGGTATAATTAGGTATATTTAATTATGAGATTGATTGATAGTTGATTAAAACGTACGCACTTGAAATGATGACTTTAATTTTTATAGCACGGTTTTAGGTCTGCAATTACATTTTTTTGGTAAATCGTTTTAGAATAATTAAATAAAGGCCATACAAATGAGCACAGCATTCTGAGGAATAGGATTTAAATTCAATTTTGATGAGAAATAACAATTTAATTATAGGTTATTTGGCCTTGCTCGATTTTATTATTTGACATAGACCTAGAAATTAATCTAATCTAGTCTAATTAGATATTTAACAAGCAGGACGAATATTGCAGTTTAAATGCACGTCCCGATACCGTTTTTCCCCCACATCTGAACTACTCCAATAAAGTTAGTTCACAAAGCTGCTCATAAGCAATACCAGGTCTGATTCAAATGTTTCAATTCTTACCAATGTAGTTTCATAAGAGAAGCGTCCTCTCTAGACTAGTTTGCCCATATCCATTACAAGGAGGCTGACTCTCTTATTAATGATTTTCTCTTTAGTCAAACCCTTTCTCGCAGATAAATTGTGTACAAAATGAATGGATGAGGACAGGAACCAAAATGTTCCATCCATGAATAACAAGACGACTTGACAACCCAGCTTGACTCTTAAGACCACCCGACTTTAACTCACTGACCCAATTTGAAGCGTTGACCCTACATGCCCGCCAAGTCATCTTAACCCGCGCACTGTATTTAACTTATTAGAATCCTGATCAATTTAAATAAGTTCTCCTCAGTGAATGATATCGACATTTTTCACAATCCCCTAAATGTAAATCAAATTAAATCTTAAGCCCTAATGTATAGGAAAAAAACTCAAAAATCACCACGTTAGCACGCTAGGGGATGGCACCCATATGTAGCCGACCCCACGTCATGTAGCCCCTTTAAACGCAACACCCTGTATATCTTGAAGTCAATTGTTTGCCATTTTTTTCCTGATTACATTAAGATATCTTTTTTTTTTATTTTAGCAATGAAAACCTTATTTTTTTACTGTTTTTAAATTTAAATAGTAAACGATGTTGTTTTGTTTATTGTATCCATGGTAATTAAGACAGCTGATACCAATCAATAAAAATTGTTAATGATACAAACATGTCATTTCAAACAACATGATAAAATATGTCATAGCCGCGTATATGCCCATTTATTAGAAAAATGAAATTTTGGACGTATAACTTTATTACGCTGTTATGCACGTCGGGACAGAAGAGCGTATGATTCATTAGCTTAATAAATTTAAAAATTTTTTTTAAATAATACAAAATACAGTGCGTTTGAGATAAGAGGGCCACCTCAATTTTATATTTATGTCTTATATATTTGGAAAGAGCAATTAATTTCCTGTACAACAACATAACATATGGATATGGTTGATATACAAAAAATGCAAGTCCGTTCTGCACATACGCGCACATAGTTTTCAACATGGACTCTACGTTTGTCTTAGTTAACATTTCACAAAATATTGAATATACTTTGGGCTTTATCAAGCGCAATAGCCAGGTTCGAATTAAAGGTTTTGTAGGTCCTATACCATTGGTTCCCATTAGCCACAAAGTAATAAAATGCGGCCATGTTGCGTATTTAAAAAAATAGTTAAGTATACATATTATGTTGTATAGAAATTTAGTAATTTGTGCATCGTAAAGTAGCTTTCGAATTAACGTGACGGTTATGCTTTTTTTATATTACTGATTTGTACGGACGATTCGTTGTCGATCAAGATTTTGATTTTGTTTAGTTAACGTCAATTGAATTATTGATTCTTATTGAGTATTAATTACGGTTTGTAGTATTCGAGTACCCGAATATCAAACGCGTTTTCACGCTCATGCAATTTGCGCAAATTGACTTGTGCATGCCATTTTGTGCAAGTAAATTGGTGCATGAAAACGAAAATTGTTTACTTGCGCAAGCCAGAAAATTTGGCTTGAGTAAAATCTGGATGGCCAGATAATTTGCACGTGGTTGGTGCAAATGCATGAACGTGTAAACGACACACCAATTCGACGCATGCGTAGTAGTCGAGTAAAATTAGAGTAATATTTGCTCAAACCTAGAACAAATTCGGAACAAGCAACCGATGTCCGAAATTACTAGTACCAATAATGCTCTTTAACATACTAAAAGTCCCCATATGTCCGAGGTGCGGAACATCCTGAAAATTGCGCCGCCATCTTGGATTTTCATGTTTTTTGCTAATAACTTTGTTATTATTTTTTTTTCGGAAAAAGTTAGGAAAGGGAATTTGTGAAGCTTTAAAATACGAATCCAATGCTTCTTTATTTCTCGAAATCGATTGGAAACTAAGGGAGATATGATTTTTTATTGTATCAATAATCGCACTATACAGCATTCGCTGTGTATACCTACAATAAGACAGTGCAACACTCCCCCCTCCCCCAGACATGAGCGGACATGTGTTGTACGTTATTTTGTGTTTTGTTTGTGATAATAATGTCAAAGAAAGAAAAAGAGTTCATGGTCCAGTTTATTTTGCTTTATAAATCCTTTCTTGTCTTTGGAAAGTTAAATCCAAACAGTACAGCGATAGAAACGACGAAAGCCACAGGCGTATGATATTCTAATTGAAAAAAATTAAAAAATGCGTACACTTGAAGAGAGTGCAAATAGGGAAACTGTGATAAAGAAAATAAATTCCTTGAGAACGACATACAGGAAAGAATGACAATCTGAACTGTACTGTAGACAAATTTGTGCACCAAACTTGAACCGTGAAAATGGATGCATGAGTTCAGTGAATTTGCACAAATTTACATGCACAAGTCAATTTGCGCAAATTGTATGAGCGTGAAAACGCACCTTTAGACATTGCTACGCAATATTTAGGTGCCATGCTATTCACTACCCTTCTTGTTTTTTTATGTTTTTAACTGTTACAGACAAGGCAAAAAGCGTCCTTCTAAGCTCGGAAAGGTTGTTTGGACTTGCACTTGAAAGGCCTGTTTTGATATTGATAATAATTTTACAGGCTACGAGTTGTTCCCTTTTTTTGCAAAAAAATTAAAGTTAAATTTAAACGTTGACATTTCAGATCCAGATATTCCAGTGTCCTATTTGTAATTTTTGAGATGATTTATTAAATTACACTCGATTATGACCACTAATATTGTTTATGTGCTACCCTGTCATTTTTTTTAGCCTATCAAGATCAAATCAAAGATCTGTTAATCTGCCTTGTTCCCACTGTCGGTAAGTATTCTCTTTTGAAATTGACTAAATATTAAGTAGCTATTCCATGGACGAGGGTCGTGCATTTTGCAAAAATTAAAATGTCCCACACTAACATTTGCCCGTTCTTCCGTCCACGTTAGTAGATAGGCTATGAGAGTTCTGGCCCACTTTTGGTCAAAATCCCATGTTATTTCCCATAAGAAATTCTAAGGTCCATTTCGGTCATTTTTGTATCACTTCTGTCATGTGCGCATGCGCGTCCCGGGCTCGCCGGCAGGGATGTCGTTGGTCGCAGGGTAACACAGCCGGAGTGTGGTATTTCGGAGAGGCGTTGGTCCGGGCAGCCGGGGTGTGGGAACTTTTACCGCCTCAGCTTAATCGACTTATTTCGACAGCCGTGGTGTTGGTATTAGGCCATATATACCTCTTATATATATGGTATAGGCTCTCGGGGTGAGGGACTGTTTTTCCGTCCAATTAGTTTCGCTCCTTTTTTTTCGGCAGCCCGGGTCAAGGTTATTTTGGAAGGCTTCAGTTCGGATCGAGGTTCGAACCTACTTCCCTCCGCACTTACTGCTGTATCAGAGGTCGGATAACCAACTGCGCTACCAGAACTATTACTTATCGACTGATATAGATGAGCCGTGTCTTTCCGTTTGCCTCATATTTTTGACAGTTATGCTTCTCATAAGCGTTGCGGTAAATTTGTAGACGCGGGGATTCGAACCATCGATCTTTTACATTAGAACCATCCATCTGAACCACTCGGCTACCGCGCCTTAATCACATCTACGTTAAAACAATCATAGGTAGGTAATTACTTGTGCTATTTATAGAATAAAAGGAAGCATTGTAGAAAAAATCGTTCCCCGATTCTCTAATTATTAAAACGAGAATTAGTCGACGTGTTGTTTAGATTTCCTATAATTATATGACATTGCATCATCCAGCTGTAATACTAGGTAACTTGTACTATCCAAGTCGTACGTGTATGGATGTTCTTCATATTCATTTTGCGATTATGGATAAAAATAAATGTTATATGGAATAGACTTCCTGGGATGGAATGTGTAAAAATGATCGGTCAGCTATTATACAATCGTCCTCTCCCTTACTACTTCATTGTTGAAAGCATTGTAAATTTAATTACGAAGAATAATTTCAAATTCCAATACATAAATAGAACAAATGCAATTCTCGTATCATAGTACGCATTCAAAAATTATACTGGGGCGTATTAGAATTCTTTTTGGGGAGCTTCATGGTAATACAAGCGGTATTTGGCAGCTACGGGAATGAAAAAAAAAACGACTGAAGAAAAACTGCGCTACATTGGTAATCTTTCCCGCGATTTTACGTATAGTAACACTTTTGTCAAATTCTTTTTACCACCGCGCACATCAAAAGTTCGTCGGGGAACATTCCAATATAGGAAATGCACCGCGATTTTTTCGTGTCCATGTTTCTGAAGATACCTTCTGCATTAGCGCGCACGCAAGGTTCTTTTTTACTGTGAGTTCGAAATTTCGGGCGGCTATGAGGTATCCAAATACGAGTAAATGCATATCCTTTTTGCGGCAAAGCAATTTATTACATCCCCCAATCTCATAATGAAGCCGCCATGCCTACTTGAACGATTCAGTATTGCATTATTATGTTCACACACTAAAAAGTGTAATTGGTCCATATTTAAAATACGCGTTGCACTCATGGCAAATGCTTACCCCACCCCAACGAGCACCCTGTCGTGTTGGACTGGAGAATGGAGATGAAAGTAAATTAATTTCAAGTTCAAAATATAAACCTATAAACAAATGCAATTCTCGGTAATAAGTATCTCTGCTCGTCCCCGTCGTCCTTTACTGCTCTTGCACAGTACGCATTCAGCACAAACTATACTCGCGCGCACTTATCAGCTTTTGTATTACAACTCGTTAGTTATGCAGATAATTCCGTAATTTTTTTTGCATAGTTAACAAATTACCGAACTTTTTTGTCAATAAATCGTATGGAAAGCGGTACTTTTTTTCACGATTTTTACCATTCTTTTCCATGGCGTTTAGTCCTGTCCACCGTCCTGTCTTTGAACAATAGCTCAAATTTTGAGTGACAGTAAATCGCGAATGTCAATTATATTATTCAATTATGTGTAATTAAAGATCACTACGCAAAAAAATTTCGTGTACAACACGTGTTGAAAGTGTCTTTTTTCATTAATATGCTTGATTAACTCGGGCTTCGCCCTCATTAATCAAACTGCAAATTCACGAAAAAATGTATCTATTACACTAAATTTCCCGTGTAATTTTACGTATAGCAAACGTCTAATTGAAAATGCTTACCTCAACACTATTATTCAAAGCGCCTGTCGTGTTCTTGTTGGATTGGAGATGAAAGTAAATAATTATAAACAAATAAGTACAATAATGTGTTTCAAATTTTAAAATGGCCTGAGTTCGGAAGCACGCCGCACGGGTGTAAAAAATAGTGATGAATCGACTTTGTTCTTTTCTGAAACGAGAGCCGAGGAGAGCGATCATCATTTCGCAGAAATATACACACTCTCATTAGAAATTGCATTTTCAGCGCCTTATAAAAGGGTGATTATTCAAATTTTTTCCCATTTCTATTCGAGTATTGCTTGCAATTAGTCGTTGCGTTTGTGTGTTTATTAGTTACCTATCTGTTGGTGAGTTTTATTATTATTAGCAGTAGTAGTTATTCTTTTAAATTTATTATTATTTGACGTGCACGTAATTCGAAGCGCGTTATAAAAGAGGAATTATTCAGATTTTTTCCATTCCTGCTCTAGTATTCGTTGTGTTTAGACGTGTTGTGTTTATTAGTCGTGTTGGTGAGTTTTATTTTTATTATTAATAGTTTTTTAATTTATTATTAAAATTGATTACACGTACAGGTACACGTAACTTCAGCTCGCTATAAAAGGTGCATTATTCAGATTTTTTCCATTCCTGCTCTAGTATTCGTTGTGTTTAGACGTTTTTGTTTATTAGTCGTGTTGGTGAGTTTTATTTTTATTAGCAGTAGGTTTTTTTAGTTTATTGTTAAAATTCATTAGACGTGTAAGATGTTTGCAGATTTAGTGAAACACATTGCAGGTATTTTAGGTGTGTTAAGAACTAATTACAGCGATAAATCAGTTAGGGAAGGGATAAGAGAGTGTGATAAAGCGACACGTAGGATTCGGAATTCTTTGCGTGGAGCTTTACCTATAGGTGAAAAACAACATCATGAGGCTTGTTTACGTAATATTAAATCGATGCGTAAGCATTTTAAATTAGAACAAAAGAGGGGCCAGGGTATAGCATTGAACAAAGAAACCGCAAAGCATCGCGTTCATTGGGATGACTCCATTTCAGCTTTTAGTAATAGAATACGGACTGGTGTTATTACTAATCTCAAACATAAAGACCCCAGCCGCTTCTTAGTGGACTGTAAGGTAATCTTCAAACGACAGGTTTTCAACGCCTTGAAAAAAGACGAGGCTGTGAAAGTAAATGCGATTTTTTGCGGGGAATTTGTGATTACTCAAGGGGAAAAAACTCTCAACGAATATAAGTACTTCACAACATCAAATGCGGCAATATATAGAGGTACTGACATAGAAGAGTGGTTTGAGGAAAAGGTTAGTAAACCCCTAATGAAGAAGTTATCGGAGTTTCAGGAATGTAACAGCGGTTGGGCACTTCGAGCCGTCGTTAATTTAGGGGTTAATTTTAACAAATTTACACCTCAACTTGGGTCTTCATATGTTGAGTTACCTCCGCAAATTCAAACAAAAAAGGCCTGTGTTAACGTCAAGAACGAGGATCATGCGTGCTTTGCGTGGGCGGTGGTTTCAGCATTATATCCTGCTGATAAACATCCTCAAAGAATATCTAAATACCCTCACTACTCGTCTGTGCTTAAGCTAAAAGGGATCCAGTTTCCGATGACCATGAGACAAATTTCGAATTTTGAAAAACAGAACAATATCTCCATTAATGTGTACATTTTGAAGAAAGAGAAAAAGGATCAGTTTAGTACCCTGCCTACATACCTAACTAAGGAAAAGATGGATAAACATGTGAACCTGCTTTTAGTGCAAGACTGCTATGAACAACCCACTAAATTCCATTATGTTTGGATCAAAAATCTTTCACGGCTAGTATCTAAAAAGTTAGGCAAAAGGAATGGACAAAAATATGTTTGTGATAGATGTTTACACTATTTTCATTCTGAAGACAAATTAATTAAGCATACTGGAGATTGTATGCAGAAGAATGATACCGCAATCAAGATGCCTACGGAAGAAAAAAAGATGTTGAAGTTTAAAAATTTTAAAAATAAAATAAAAGCCCCCTTCGTAGTATATGCAGATCTCGAGAGTGTCCTGAAACCTAGCGCGAAAAAGACCGCATACCAGCAACATATTCCGGCAGCTGTGGGATACTACTTCAAGTGCTCATATGACGAATCTCTTTCATTCTACAATAGTTACCGTGGTGAAGATTGTATGCGGTGGTTTGCTGACGAGATGAATCAACTCGCGGAAGATGTCTCTACTGTGTTTCTTTGCCCCTATAAGATGCAAATGACTCCACAACAAGAAATCGAATTCCAAACAGCAACTCACTGCCACATTTGCGAACAGCCATTTACAGCAGGGCAGAAGAAGGTTCGAGATCACAATCACCTCATTCCAGAGAACAACTTCCGCGGAGCTGCATGTGAAATTTGTAACGTCAACTATCAGGACACTCATACAATTCCGGTAGTATTCCACAACTTGAGTGGATATGACGCTCACTTTCTTATAACGGATATTGCCACTAGAATGGGTGGTAAAATCGACTTGCTTCCTATAACCAAAGAAAAATATATCTCTTTTACCAAACATATCAACGAGTCACGCATCAACTTTAGATTTATAGATAGCTTCCGGTTTATGGCATCATCCTTAGATAAATTATCATCAGCTCTAACAGAATTTCCCAATCTCAAGTCACAATTCTTTGCTCTACCTGAAGATCAATTTAATCTTTTAACTAAAAAGGGTATTATGCCGTATGATTATTTAGACTCATTTACCCGTTTCGATGAGCCTTGCCTCCCTCCTCAAGATGCGTTTTACAATAAATTGGAAGATAAGCCTTGTCCCCGTAGGATGTATCGTAGAGCTCAAGAGGTGTGGAGCAAATTTAACTGCAACAATTTAGGTCAATACGTTGAGTTATATATGAAGACCGATATTCTCCTCCTTGCGGATGTATTTGAACTATTTAGATCAAGCTGTATTAGTACTTATGATTTAGATCCAGCCCACTACTTTACACTGCCAGGCTTTACTTGGGATGCCATGTTGAAACACACGCGGCAAGAGTTGGAACTCCTTACCGACCAAGATATGTTTCTTTTTATTGAGCGAGGTATTCGAGGAGGTTTGAGTCAAGTCTGCTCTAAGAGAAGAGTCCACGCAAATAATAAATACATGCCCAAGTATGATTCAGCGAAACCTGATGTATATTTGATGTACAATGATATTAATAACCAATATGGATGGAGTATGAGTCAATATCTTCCTTATGGGGGGTTTCAATGGGTAGATGCCAACATCGATGTTACTATGATCCCGGATGATGCAAATGAAGGCTACATTCTAGAAGTTGATTTGGAGTATCCAAAGCAGTTGCATGACTTACATCAAGATTTACCATTCTGTGCATTACATATCAACCCGAAAACCATGAAACCACCATCTAGAGCTAAAGAAACTTCAAAACTCATGGCAACCCTAAATCATAAAGAAAAATACGTCATCCACTATCGCGCCTTGAAACAAGCATTAGCTCACGGCTTAGTTCTCACTAAAGTACATAGAGTACTAAAATTTAAACAGTCCCCTTGGCTAAAGTCCTACATTGACTTGAATACGAACCTAAGAAGAAATGCCAAGAATGAATTTGAGAAGAACTTGTTTAAGTTGATGAACAACGCAGTCTTTGGGAAGACCATGGAAAATGTTAGAAAACGACTTGACGTTAAATTATTATCCAAATGGGAGGGTCGTTATGGTGCAGAATCATATATCTCAAAACCAGAATTTAAATCTTGCGTTATATTTAATGAGAACTTGGTGGCGGTAGAAATGAATAAGCTTGAAGTATATTTAAATAAACCTATATACGTAGGTCAAGCCATTCTTGATTTAGCTAAGACGACCATATACAGCTTTCACTACGACTACATGATGGATAGATTTGGAGGTAACTGTACTGCCGTTTATACTGATACCGATAGTTTAATTTATGAAATTCGAGAGCAAGACCCGTATATGGTTATTAAAAGCGATTGTTTTAAATATTACGATACCAGCGATTTTAACCCTAACAACCCATATGACATACCTCTTGTAAATAAGAAAGTCTTGGGTATGATGAAGGATGAAAATAATGGGAAAGTAATGACTGATTATGTAGGATTGCGATCTAAACTGTACACGACCAAAGTATTAACCACCAAGGATGATTTAATAAAATTGCGTCAGAAATTAGAAGCGGAAGAGTATGAGGAGGATGAAATTGCTACGATTATTAAAAATTATGGTTTGATAAAAAAGGCAAAGGGGGTAAAGAAAAGTGTAGTCGAGACTAAAATTTCTTTTGATGATTATGTGGAATGTCTGGAGACATTTAAGCGCAAAACAGCATCTCAAAATTTGATTCGGACAGATAAACATCAAGTGTATTCTATAACACAGTCGAAAATTGCTCTAAGTCCCGAAGACGATAAGAGGTATCTAATTCCCGGCTCATTTAACACTCTTCCGTGGGGCCATTATGCTATTGATAAACCTCAAGATGTTGCCGATAACCCGATGGATGTTGATTAATGTGCAGATTTGGTATCCCTCCTAATGTATTTTTGAATTAGTTTTTCTATATCAATCTATTAATTTACCAACCCACACTTTTTTTTACTTAACCAGACCTACAATAGATTAATTCTTAACAAAGAAACCTGTTAGGCCTCCATTGTTACTTTCCCTCTACATACAAAGTATGTATAAAGGAAAGTATTGTAATCGTGATAAATTTTCGATATGCCAATATTGCGTTTTCTGGACGTTTAGAAGCACTCAGATGAGCCCCAATGGGCATGTGAGGATCGTGGATGTTGCGGAAAGTTATCTTGAATCGGATTAATCAAGGAGATAGTTGTACTCTCTGCAATTATACATCAGAAACCACTTCTGCTTCTGATCAAATGTGATAACATTACGTCTGATTTATATGTAAACAATGTACCTTTTTGAGTTATGTTAATAAATGATATATAAACACCAAGGAGTTTTCATTTCTCTACGGAATAATAGGGACGTTTTTAAAAATTGTACACTATTTCCTTTTTTTTTCATCATAATCACCGTTCCGATCAATCCATCTTTTTGAATCTACCCCGCATGTTATTCCTCGATGTTTCGTCAGATACGTGTGGACTAGCGTTGCGCTGCCTTCTTGTTTTGTATTCCGGTGTGAAGGTTCTCCAACGTCTCACAGCGCTCCGGTAGGCAGGAATTCACACAACCCCGGTCCTAAAAAGAAAACTCAGGCAGACGGCTTTGGTGATGATGTTTCCATTGGCGGATTTTTGTTTCCGGAGTCGTGTAGGGAACTTAGCTCTCGTCCACCGGCGCAATCTTTTTTGCACAAAAAAAACGAATCGAGTCGGGCATGCGGATGGAAATCTGCAACTGTTGTGGAAAGTTATATGGATTAATCAAAGAGATAGTTGAACTCTCTGCAATTACACATCAGAAACCACTTCTGCCTCTGATCAAGAATATTATACGTTTAATTTAAATATAAATAATATACCTTCTTGAGTTGTGTTAATAAATGATATATAAACATCAAGGAGTTTTTCATTTCCCTAAGGAATAATTTGCGATTTCACTCTCGCGAATGTTCTTCTTCTACCGGGAGCTGGTACCTACGTAAAATAAGGTTCCCAATTATTTTCACAATGAAAAATTATGTTTATTGGTATTTTTGGAAACTTTACACTATTTCATCATAATCACCGATCCGAGCGATCCATCTTTTTGTATCTACCGTCGCATGTTCCTCTTCGGTGTTTGGTCAAGTCGAGGAAGAGACACTAGAACTGTAAGAAGGGTGTGTGTATGTTGTACGTGTGGACTAGCGCTGCGCTGCCTTCATGTTTTGTATTGCGGTCTGAAGATTCTTCAACGTCTCATAGCGCTCCGGTAGACAGGAATTCGTACAACCCCTTTAGCGATGATGTTTCCACAGACGGATTTTTGTTTCATTTTCCGGAGTGAACCCAGCTCTCGTTCACCGGCGCAATATTTTTGCACACACAAAAAACGAATCACGTAATGTTGGGAGAGTCCATCTCTAACGGCAAGAGTGAGTGTCGCTGGGTGGAGAATTGGTAGGAGGAAGAATCAAGCTATATGCCAGTGCGGAATTCGGTTACTGTTTGTGTCTGCATCTTATGTATTTTTTTACTTTTTAAATTGTAATCATTTGACATTCAAAAATTATGGTAGGCCTATTAGTTGTTTTTTATATACTCTATATATAAGAAATTTCTAATGGGGAACCCTATAACGAGGCCAATAAACACCTCCAATAAAATTACATTATTTTAATGTGAATTTATTGCCTCCTGGGTGGCCGTGGAAAGAGGTGTATCTATAAGACGAACATTCTCAACCGCTGCCTATGCCTCTACCATGACAACTGGAACTTCTTACAGAATAACAACGGAATTTTTTCAGAATTCTCGAGGTTTTTCGTATAAAATCTGCTTACCCTTCATCAGTCGTGCATACCGAATTTGCATGAAGGTTTTTCGTATAAATTCGGCCTTCCCTTCATTGGTGAGCGAATTGTACCGGTGTATATCCTGTTTATCATTTTCTGTATATCAGCCAGTTTGCTCGGTGTTGATAGTTTACATTCTCGTGACCTATACA